CTTTGTTCAGTTTCAGAAAAAGAATAGGAAAACAACTCCTAGATAGGGAAAATTAAAGTTGTAATCGTAAAAGGAAGAAATGAATGAGACACTTGGAGTCTCAACCTGAAAGAAGAAACCTTTGAAGCGCCAAATTGCCAAATGCTGGAGATCACGCTAGAACGCCCAAACACGTCGGGGTCGCCGAGCACCTGGTCTTCGGAGATGATATTTGTTGCTTTGCGAGGATGATGCTTTGTTGTAATCTCTTCGGCTGCTTAGTAAGAGACAAGGCACGTCGTGACCCAGATTTCATAAGTTGACTGCAAGTTGTGACCTGAAAGAAGACGAAATAGCACGAAACTGATAACAATGAAGGATAAATCACATGAAGCACTACATATAGCTCAAATCTGAAATTTGACGAGAACCCTTGAAGAAGATGACATTTGCTCGTGAAGGACTTCACTAGGTTAGGGTTCTAACACATTAAAGGGAGGAAAGTTATAGGGTTCGATCTGCGAAAAACTTAAAATTTAAAAATTTAAAATTTATTTGTATTGTTGCTATAATACTACAGAGCAGTGAAAATGAAATGTTAGATTACAGGAGAATAGTAATACGGAGCAGTGAAAATGACACATTTATGTTTTTTTAAAAATTAATTAAAAACTTGTGTTGGAGTGTCATTGATGTACACTGATGTAATAGTGTCAGTAGTCACTGATATATAAGGGTCATAAACGTATCTGTGTCATAATAGTGTCACACAAGTGTTACTGTAAACAGTTTTTCTAGTAGTGATTTAAATTTTAAGTTTAAAAACAATATTTTATGAAAATAATGGCTAATTAGTTTTTTTTCTTAAAACATACGTAGTACTCCGTATGTTTGTTTCATGAACCAAATTACCAAATACAACTAAGAGGCTGTTTGGAAAAACTGTTTTTCGGCTTATCAGGCTTATCAGCCAACTTTTTCACCAATCACGTAACTTTTGCTTTCGCGCGCTGAATTGTGCAATAAGCATAAAAAGTAAGGTTGGAGTTACTTTTCTGGCTATATCGGTTGAAATTACTGTAGACGATCATTTTAGTTATTTTTACATATAATTTTTTCTTTATTTTATTAATAAAAATATATTTTAAAAATATTTTTTTCTTAAATCACCAGAATTGGCCAATACAACCACGTCAGCCAGAACTTCATAAATTTCAACAGAATCAGTCAAATCAGCCGATTTCATGCTACCAAACGAGCTCTAAATCTAAATTAGTTCTTAACATTTTTTACATTCTAATACATTTTAGATAGTAAAAGTATTTAAAAATAATATGGTCCTTTAGTTAATAATAACACTTGTTTATGTATAAATTTATTAAATTGACAAAAAATATATATTACATATACTTTAGAGCCAATTTGAAAAAATGTGACCACTTTTACAAAAGGACAAAAATGTGACCAAGAAGGTCATATATTTGAAAAAACATAGTTCTGCCAGATTATTATGTCACAGTTATTTTTTTATGTCACTGATTTTATGTCACTTTTGAATGTCAATGTCGGTTTTCATGTCACTTTAATATGTCACTTCCGCCGTCAAATGTGTCACTATGTCGCCATCAAACGTGTCACTTTGCTGCCGTCAAACGTGTCACTTAGCTTTGCCGACGTCAAACATGTCACTGTGTCATTAACCATCTCTAGCCACAGTGACATCTCCACTGGCGGTGTCATTGCCGATTTACCGCCGCTGATGTCACTATGATTGTCGGATCGGAAACGTAAATTTCAACCAAATTTGACCGCCACGCCAACAGCACCGCCATTGCCGCCTCCCCAACCCCCATACCCGCCTCCTCCCTAGCTCACCAGCCCCCTCCCCAGACAACCAGCCCAATGACCGCTGCCTGCACCGCCCAATGTCCGCCGCCACACCGCTTCATCCCGTTATCACTGCCTAGCCCCCTCCCCAACCCGGCCCCACCAACCCCATCTTGATTCAACCCCAGTCCCAACCCAATCTCAGACCCTTCCCCTCCCCTACTCAACAGAGATGTGACAACCAGCCACCTCCCCCTCCGACCGCCAACGACGGTAATTGACCAGACCTTCCGCCACATCCCTGCTAACCATAGCCGCCACCCCCATTCCAGAACCACATCCAAAATAAATTGAAGAAGGAGAAGCAGATCAGATTCAAGGCAGCTAGAGAACGATGGTGCGTTGATGGCAGCTGGAGAACGGTGAGGCGGCGGCGGCGGCGGGAGAATGACGGAGCAGAAATCCTAAATGAAGAAAGGGATCGTGTGATTTTTTTTGAATGGAGAAGAGACCGTCTACTAAACGTAATTTGATGGAGCAGAAATCCTAATTTGTGTTAGGAACGCTTAGAAAATACGGAGCATCCGCATGTATTTTAAGAAGATTCCGATGGTAACTTTTTTGTCATAATCCAAATTAATTATATTTTTGTCTACTAAAACTGTAGTGGTAATATTAAGGCCATTGTTTCTAAAAACTACGGTGTTAATAAATTCAGCCAAAATAAATTTTGACTAAAGAATTTAGGGAAAAGAATCATATCTTATAACCTTAATTATATAAAAAGTAATGTTTTTCTTAGTCAATTCTACATTATTTTACTAGTTCGATAGCTGCCGCCGCAAGAGTGTGGAGGTAGTTTATTTAATTATAAATTCTGTATTGTACTAATTAAGATGTATTAATTACAAATGGATATATTAGTATCCATTTGTATATACTTCACTCCTAGTTTAAGAATTCAAATATGATATACCTGCTTGCGGAAAATGTCTACATTTACACTTATTTACCCAAAAAATCTTTATAAGAACTTAATGCATGTTTATTAGTAAGAAACATATCCCCACATTTTCAGACATTAAATCCCACTTTATTGTAAACACATATAAGTAGAGGTGTTTAATACTACATCCGTCCCAAATTGATTTGCAAATTTGATTTTTCTTGATCAAACAGTTTCATTTTATTTGCTTAATTACGATGTCAATTTTTAATCATATTGGGCTAGTCGGGTGTGAATGATCGATGATATTTTCGCTTGCGATTAAATTTTTTAACTTAATTATTCTGAACTGATTTAATCTAGTCTGAATTTTATTTATGCTAGTCTGATTTGATTTGTTTATGTCTGGTCACGTTAGGTCTTAGCTGGTATAGTCTGTTGTCATATGATATTCTATGTTTTTTACTCCAAGGGGGTCTGGGGGGTAGGGGCCTAGAGTAATCAGGGCTGAAACTTATTCTATTGAGTTTCAAACCCTTATGTGTCTAGCGGGTTTCGAACTCGAGACCTCCCACTAGGCACAATAACCTCGCAACCAATTGGACTGGAATGCTTCGTTATATTGTATGTATTGTTGTACTCCTATTAGCTAAGCTTGTCATTTCCGGTCAGTATAACTAGTCTATTTTGGAATGGGCGAGTTTAAGTCTATACTTATCTGTATCTGATCTAGTGTATTTAAGGTTGGTCGAGTTTGACCTTGTCTTATCTAATACGACCATGGTATGTGAGACTGAAATGATTGTGTGAGACTGAAATGATTGAGTCCTAAGTGAAAATAATATTAGTCTTATCTAATTGGTTATTTTTGTGATGTTAAGAAAAAAGTATATTACAACAAAAACACAAAATATATGAGATTTCTTATAAAGATCACCTTGGGCCCAAATTAAGATACATATGTGATATTTATTACATTACTTAATTAAAAAAATTATACAATAAAAATTATACTAAAAAATTATACAATAAAAATATTACATATTTTAAATTACTTGACCCAGGCCTACATTTATATAGGATCAACCCTGATGTGTAACCATAATTATTTATAAGTATTACATAAATGGTCTAATAAATTAACATTTGAATAATACATACTACTTATTATAATGAAGCCCATAATATTAATTCTGTATGATACAATATTGTTAATTTTAAGCAATTAATGGGCAATGTTTAAGAAATTTGACTCAAGTCAATTGAGACTTTAATTGAAGGACGGAAGAAGTATATTTTATCCACACAATCAATTATAATAAAGTGAAAACTTGAATTTTACAATATAAATAAATGATTAAGTAATGACTTAAACCAGTAATATGCGTGATTTTTTTGAAAACAAATAACTTAATTATTATCAATAAGGGTATCAAAAAACATAACAATCAAAAACCGAATCATTACAGTCATAGTGTTCAATGCTACACTAGGTGAGACAAAGAACAAAAAAGACGTATAAATCTGCTCTTAACCCTGCAATGAAATAGACTAAATCACAATGTGACTATTCATGCTGCTCAAATGGATCGGGTTTGATCAGCCACCGAAAAAGAATTACAAAGCATTAAGCTTCTCTGTTTTTCTGACCATGAGTAAGGAGTCATTTGTTTCGCGAGAAAGAAAGCCATGCAATTCCATCTTCTTGGGTCGGTGATGCACCAGATTCATGATTGATGAAGAAGCTGCTAAAAATCTAGCTATTAATAGCGCACATGAACACACGATCGATGATGGCGGGAATATACATCCGAGAGAGACGATAATTCGCCACCAAAAATGATATCCACAGACAACACTAAAAAATAAATGTACTACCATATACACCTAATTATTTAAAAGAATGTGGGACAAGAACCGTGGCCTCAGCAACTTTTATATTTTAATTGGGTGATTTATAGAGTATGTATAGTGTATGCAAAAGACAAGGGAAGACATAATTAGAAGGGCAATTAGGAGGAGAGAAAGTGAGAAGGGAATGACGTCATGGATGGATGAATAGGGACGACAAAGCATGAAAACCATGCATGCGCAATTGATGAATCAGTGCCCCTCCATCACCTGGCCTGGCCTGGCCTGCCCTAAAACCCTTTTTCATTTTCTCTTCCTTTCTCTTTCACCACCCCTCACTATCCCTATTACCTTTTCCCAGCTACTCTCCTTTAATCCCCTTTTAAAAACCCTCTCTATATATCATGCTGGCCTCCAAATGCAAATTAACCCAAATCATCCTGCTCTACATTCTCACTTCTTTTTCTTCCTTCTAAACCAGTTCCATCTCATTGCCTTCTACTGTATATTCCCCCCAAAAAAGATTAATCATTTTACTAAACAAAGCTGAACTGATATCCAGCCAGATTTATCAATATTCATTCCACACATCTCTTCACTACCTACAAATTAACAAGCTGCTAAGCTAACTCGATCGGATTCGCCTCCTCGCACTCGTAAGTTTTAATTAATTTTCTAGATTATATTCGCCTCATCTCCGGCCTCCCTTATAACTTTGTCTTATAATCTTTCTTTTTTTGTTTACTCATAAACTTTGTCAATTTCGATTTCAATCAATTAATATGTGTTTCTTTTTATTTCTATTTGTTCTACACAAAATTGGTTTTATTATTTTCCATGTCGGTCAAATTTGGCAAAACTATAACAGAAGGAGTATATATGTGTATGATTATATAGCTTTCAATTGAACCCCCTTCATCAGTATTTACTCATAATTAATGTGCTTTTTTTCTAGTTATTCAATTCGCATACAATTTCTGTTGTATATATTGGCGTGGGGTGGAAAATACTCTTTCCGTCCTGAAAAGGTTTGCCAAATTGACTTTTCTTGGTCAATGACAATTAACTTTGACTAATGATATTTTTTAATACAAAATTATTTTGGATATGAAAGTTATATCAAAATGTTTCTTATTCCATATATTTTCATAAAAGTATAAAATTTATAAATTATATACAAGTATAATAATCAAAATCAGTGTCCAAAGTTTGTCATCATTGATCAAGAAAAGTCAATATGACAAACCTTTTCAGGACGGAAGTAGTACTAATTAATGTTGTTGTCTAGGCGTCTAGCGCATTTCCTTAATTGTGTTATTCTAGTCCGCAAGTCGTATCGTATATAACAACAAATTTTAATTATCCATCCATTTTAATAGCTATCAAAACCTTAGTATGTACTTAAAATTTCTTACATATATATATGTAAGATACTTGATGAATCATATATACTCCGTATTCCCTATCCATATTTAAAATTAAAATCCCACATTGACCTTATTGTCAATGCTTGACCACCGCCATTTAGAATTTATATACACTTATAAAATATATATACGTATAAACCTAATGCCTTGTATTATAAAAACCATTATATAGTATTTTCATGTATTTTTAATGCTTAAAAGTCGAATTTTGTACAAACTTTATCTCAAAAGTCGAACAGTAATGATAGTAGTAATAATTATTGTTATAGTAATGAATTAAGAAGGATGAGACGAAGAGGAAGATGATGGTTGGTGTGTGGTGCATTGGAGACAAAGAGACACGAGAGTCAGAGATGTAGTCTCTCTACTCTTCTACCTTTGGAATTATCGAAGTGATAGTCTCGAACTCCTTAAACACACAACCACTTACATGTCAACCCCTAATTCCAATCCCCATTTCTTTAATTTGTCTCACCCTTACTTTTTCTATAATAATCTTCACATATTCACAACAAATTATATTCTCTTCCTCCCTAATGATTTTACCTCATTTCACTTTTCATATGTTACATAAACTTTGTTTAATACCGTACTTAAAACTTTGTCAACTTTTCTGTTTTGGTTATTCCACTAACTTTGCCACTTTCCTTTTTAAGTAAGAATTTGCGATGCTAGTTAATTTTCTCTCCTCTGTACAACCTCAATGACACATTTTCTAGTTTAATAATTCACGTGCTGGCCAAACTTGCCAAAGTTTTAAGGGACGGGGGAGTATTTGGTAATGTTTGTGCGATTCAAGCGTATTCATAGCCGATATGAATATCTGTCCAGTTTTGCTAGTTTTATTCTTCCAAGTTATATACTCCTTCCGTCCTAAAGTAACAAACTCGGGCTTCATAATATTCTCGCTCTTCTATTCAAATTTCAATTATATATTTTTTACTTTATTATTCGACGTGTAAGTCAAAGATTATCAACTTTCACGGAACAACGTACATAATATCAAGCGCATTTTTTTTGTAATTTTACATATATTGTGAAGTCCTCCCTATTCTTTTTACAATGAATGAACAAGTGAAGATAAAAAAGATTTCTTGTTATTTAAGGGGGTGGGACATTAATTTGATTTTATTTTCTTGTTCAAGCAGCACAAGTAACAGTGCAATAGGCAGGCAGCCTGACTTTGGTCATATAAAACCCAAACATAAACACACAGTAGCGAGCTTTTAAATCTTTTTCACTTCTCTTTTTCCAACTGTCGCGTGCCCAATTACTGATTGCGTCACCCTTTCTTGTCCTATTCCTGTCCCACCCCACCAATATATCAGTCTTCCACTACCACTAATTAACTATTTACTTATCACTCGTATTTATTTATTTAGTTATTTATAAAATACACCTAAAAGTGTTAACAAAAAAAGATGACACCTCATCCTTGAGAGTCCTCAATCCCGACCAGACGGTACGTTAGAAAGATGTAAATTGGACTATAATCCCAACGTGACAGATAGAGAGTGAGGCTCTGTCTCCGATACTTGCAGAGGCCTATGCCGCATTTTATCCCAATCCTAAAAGTGTTAACAAATAATATTGGAAAGTGGACGTATATTAAAAAATATGTATAGATATGACTAGTTGTTCCAAAAGGTGGAATCTCTTACCCCAGGAGTCCCCGACACGACATGATTTTTGGGAGGATGTAAGTCACGGTGACTCAGTCGATCCAATGATGGTATGCCTTTTTGCCCGTGCACACCAGAGGTCCAGCCCAGCACGCAACAGCTGTAACCTCCACACAGCCGCTGCGGGTTTCGAATCTTGATCATTGTTTCAAATTTTTTACCACTGAACCAATTGAGCTACCTTGCAGGTAGATATGATTAGTATACTAATGGTAAAAACTTTAATTGGTCTATTTTTGTTTCAATTATTGTAATAACATTTGTATAGGATAAATGCTTCTAGAGCTTTTGCGCCACGAGCAAGCTAGACAACATAATTTGCAAAACCACTAATTAACCTTTACTTACCTATTAATCACTTGTCAGTGTCCTTTGATCTGTTCTGCTTGGACATCATTCCATATCTACGGCCTGCTCAAAATGACTATAGCTTAATTATCTAATGAAAATGTTTGGATAATAGCTAGCTTAATTAGATCTCTTGGTTTTCATCAAACCAAATAGTAAGATAAGAGTATATATATATATATATATATCACTAAATGCGTTTCATGTTAATTACGCTCCATTCTGTTCATCACCTTTCTTTGTTCTAATCCCACACCGACCCACCATTTTAGAAGTCACTTTTCGGTTATTATTTTTTCAAGAACAAAATTGCTCAGATCCAACAAAAACGCGTTTACCTCACTCACCCTCTGCATCATTTTCTTCTTCATCTCTATTGGTGGTTACTTAAAAAGTGGTAAAGAGTAGATTCCTATTATAAAATAAAATTCCCTCTAGCCTCGATCTATTCTAGAATTTCTTTTCAGTTTCTTTATTTAGATATTTAAAATGATTTTTCGTTTCCATAAAAAGAAATTTTTAGATCAGAGAATAATTTATAATTACTTTTACTTTTTTTTTTTACTTTTTTTCATACTTGATTTAGAGTAAAATTGGGATTACATTGCATAAATATACATAAATTGAGTTGTAAAGTTGACTTTTTGGGTCAAACAAAATCATTTTATTCACTTAATTAGGATATCAATTTTGGATGCAATTTTGGACGCGATTTTCACTATGGGTCATCCGGAAACAGTCTCTCTGTACTTTTTAGTACAGGGGTAAGACTGCGTACATCCGACCCCCTTACTCCACCGTAGGTGGGAGCCTTTGCGGCACTGGGGTAAATGAAAATGAAATGAAATTAGGATATCAATTCTTAATTAAATTTGAAATTTGCAAGTCTATAGATATTTTAATGTAGTTTCTGAATATGTAACTTTTAATTATTAAAATTGAATCAATAATCAATAAGAGAGATTTAACTTTAACATTGATTGATAAAAAAATGTTGACTTTGCAAAACAATTTGAGACGATGGTAGTACTACATTAGTAAGTCAAGTAGTCGTGAAATCATTTATGAGACGGAGAGAGTACATTTTATAAGAAATAAAGTTCAATTTTTTTATGTGTATACAACTATACAACACACACATATTAAAAAGAGGTGATATGATGAGGGTTGCTGGCCACCAAACAGGTTGTTGATTATATATACCTCAACATACTTAGTTGATACCTTTCCTTTTGTAGGGTTCATAGTTCTCTTCAACTGTGATGATCTTCACTTTAAGTTTTAGGCCTTCAACATATATGCTCTCTCTCTTTCTCTCTGATCTGCCTCCATTTCCCCATTCTATAGGTACACAAACTACTAAATAAATATTTCACTTAATTTCCAAATGATATACAGTATATACATATACATGATCCAAATTGCACATGATGGATAGATATATATTGAGTAGTGGTATGAGTCATCTTCAAATTGTATTGATATGAAATAACAATAATTTTTGTATAACAAGGTTTAATATGATTGATGCAGATCAGACTAGATCAGAGAGGATCTAGCAAAGCACTGCCCAGAATAGATATCATGGATACAGATCATCAGCAGGAATCATGCACAGTACCACCAGGATTCAGATTCCACCCCACAGATGAAGAGCTGGTGGGATACTATCTGAGGAAGAAAGTTGCATCCCAGAAGATTGATCTGGACGTTATTAGAGACATTGATCTCTACAGGATCGAGCCTTGGGATCTCCAAGGTATATACTTGTGATCAGTCACTTAATAATTTGTTCTTAGCTGAACTGCTAGCTAGCTGGCTAGGGTTTCTTGATGAACCAGGCATAAAATTATAAACTGATTATTGAGATGATATAAAAATGAGCAGAAAAATGTGGGATAGGGTATGAAGAGCAAAACGAGTGGTACTTTTTCAGCCACAAGGATAAGAAGTACCCGACGGGGACGAGGACGAACCGGGCAACCATAGCCGGGTTCTGGAAGGCGACCGGGAGAGACAAGGCCGTGTATGACAAATCCAAACTCATTGGGATGAGGAAAACCCTGGTTTTCTACAAAGGCCGGGCTCCTAATGGTCAGAAATCTGATTGGATCATGCATGAGTATAGGCTTGAATCTGAAGAGAATGCCCCTCCTCAGGCAAGTTTATTTAATTTAATTTCTTGTTCTGTAATAAATTACTTATTGTTACCCCATGCGTGCCAAATCTTGCATTCCTATTTATATCTCATCATTTATTTATTTATTACGGAGTATAATAAAAAGAAAATCTCATCATTTATTTTGTTTTTCTCCCATTTTACTCTCTATAATATAATAAAAAGAAAATCTCATCATTTATTTATTACGAAGTACTATTATATTAGTGTGCGGGTTTTAATTGCATTCCTTCACTAAAAACCTTTTAAAGAACATTATATATTGTCAATACATTAAATAAGCATGAAATCTAGTATATTATGTTTTTTCCTCTATTTTTTAGCATTTCCTACAATATGTGAAATACTTATTGAATTAGTTACTGATCAAGTGTACTGAACATTTCTTTATCTTTAAATAAATCACTAATTTGTAAAGCCCAATTTCACTTGTTCATTTGTATTTTAAATATTTCTTTTAAGAATAAAATAATAATAATAATTATAATAATAATAATTATAATAATAATAATAGCAGAATCAACAGCAACAACACCAATAATAATAAAAATAACAACACTAATTTTGCCACATTCAGTGGCGACATAGCCAAGGGTATACATATATTGGGCTGAGCCGCTCAAAGATTATTTATGATTAATCTCTATACGATTTTTTTATACTAATAATCAAATATTTTTTAAATTTGAAATTCGCCGGGGCTTAGCATATACGATAGTATAAGCCCCTACCCGCCCATGATCACTTCTTTTGAAATTTAAGTACTATTTCCTGAATTGAGTTAATCAACTAATACTACGTATATCCATAATTAGTACTCTTTCGGCATTACTAAACTTCACAAATTAAACTTTCCTTTTTTAATTTTTCTAATTATTTTTGCCAATTTGTCTTTAAAGTAACACGTTTATTGCTAATGTTATTTATTTCACCTTTTACCACTAAACCGCATTAAATAAGTATAAAGTACATGAATTAATGAAACTACATTAAGTAAGTTTTAAAAGGAGAGGAAAGTAAAGACGAATCCTTGTAGCTCGAAGTCAAATGAAAAGACAGTTGACTTTTAGAGACAACAGTGTTCAACTTTGTAGCTTTAATGCTTAGGCATTTTGGATCATCCAGTACTCATGAGTTCAGCCTTTCAAGTGACAAAAAGAACCCACAAATCATCTCCTTCCTCCACGCCTTTCGGATTTGACTATTTCGCTACATATATATACACTTAATAAATCCAAGATTAATCCAAAGTAATTATTAATTAATGGAATAAGCACCTTTAACATTTTAACTTTAGCTAGTTAAATGAACTTAATTTCTAGTTTTTTAACTCGCGCGGTTATTTTAGACTTAGCAGGTATTGTACATTCAATTCGTAAAATGAAAAATGGTTCCATAGGCACTAATTGGTAACAAATGTTAAAAAATGTATCAAGATTTTCTAATCATCAAAATTTAAGTAATCAAATTATCTTAAACTACAAAATTATAAAGATTTTACAAGTCATGCGATCATCCACAACTCAGTGAACTCACATGTGGAAAATAAAATGTCATTTTAGAATTCATCAATATATGTTTACGTGCTTACATATTTGTCAATATTCACTTTTTACAGAAATTTCTCATATAGTTTGAAAAAATAAATGCGCAGTATTGAGCTTTAATATATACAGGCAAAAAGTATATATATTTGTAACATTTTTTCATTTTCCTAAAACATAATTATATCGAGAGGGATGAAACAACATTCCATTCTAATTATTTATCTGTCTAGGTTGACGAAATCATAAAGGTTAATACGGAATATAAATGTATAATATTCTATTACCAACAATGTCCTCAGTCCTCACTAATTAAAAGCCACACTTAGCTTTATTTAATGTTCTTCTTTGGAACAGTACGTGCAAATTGAATACTCTAAGAAGGGCAAATTGTGAAAATGTTATTTAGTGTGCATAGATTTCATAATTATATACACAGATACGTAGTAAAAAAGAGTACAAAAATGTGAATCTCTATAAAGATAAACATGAAGAAAGGGAGAATACATGTTACAATTGGTCTCTATTGTTACCTCGTTTTTACGGTTTTTGTCCTCCCACAAATAATGAGCATTTTTTTGAACGATAATGAGCATTTTCTTTTAAAGAAATGATTGTATCGTAGAGAATATTGCAAATTTAGAGGAAAATTAAATATTACTCCGTTAATATGTAATACTGTCTGGACTAATGTAGTAATGTGTAATACCTAGTCTGTGTTGAAAATAATACTCTTCCATTTTAGGAACTCATAAATATATATTTATGTACTTAAATATAGTTGTGCGCTCGCCTATATAGGCAGATCTGCGGGGGCCGTTGCCCTTGCTTCAGCTGTGCGAGATAGTCAGATAGGTATAGGCAGGGTGGAGCCAGGGGTCAGCCGACCATGTTGAAAGTTTGAGAGTATAGAGCTTTGAGATATCCTCGATTTGATATATTATGCCCCTGTAACTCATTACGAGTAAAAAGTTATGACTTCTGGAAAATCAAGACTACCTAAACGTAAAATCAGCAAAATTTGATGCATACTATAGATTATTTTCCCAAATTTTGAAATAAGGTATAATTAACTCAATACTTACGTGACACGACTCAGAAACAGAACACATACAATCTATCTTATTTCTACGAGTGCCTATTATTTATCTAAACTACATATGAAATATTCAACTCGGACATTGTTTAAAAACGATCCACCATTTTCATTCTGTATATAGGTTGAGTTTCGACCCCCCTGAGCCATTTTTCTGGCTCCACCACTGGGTATAGGGAGGAGTAGGGGGTCGAACCATCCATGGAGTTTTCCGGCAACAATGAACTCATAAAAAAGAACTGTTCCGCCACTTCCCGGGGTTTGAGGGAGACAGGGAGTGAGGGACGATGACCACAGACAGTCATCTCATAAATTTATTTCTAGTTCCGCCACTGCCCGTCTTGACTCGTCCATATTTGCTTTACTTATCTAATCTTCATTGAAGATTTGAATAGTTGCTAATAAGCCTGATATAAGCTAGCTAAGAGAAGACATCTTAACGTGAGAAGTGAGAAGTTACACATTTACCCATTTCTGATGCACTTTTTTTGCTAATCTGATGCACTTTTTGCGATGGTAGAAAAGTTCCGATTAATTACGGAAATGCCACCGCGTCTAGCATCACTTTTTAAATATATTTTTTTTTTGCATTTTCCTATGCACTTTTTTTCTAATCTAATGCACAAATCTTAAAATGAACGCACCAGATGCATTCTCACTTCTTACGATAAACACTCTTCTCATTTGATCCTTATTATATATAGGGTTGGGTTCTAATACGAAAACATCTTAACGTGAGAAGTGAGAAGCTTCACATTTGTTTCTTTCTGATGCACTTTTTCACTAATCTGATGCACTTTTTGCGATGGTAGAAAAGATCTGATTAATTACGGATATGTCACCGCGTCTAGCATCACTTTTTAAATATTTTTTGCACTTTCTCGTGCATTTTTTTGCTAATCTGATGCACAGATCTTAAAATGAACGCACCAGATGCATTCTCACTTCTTACAATAAGCACTCTTCTCATTTGATCCTTATATATATATCGACTGAAAAGTTAATAACTTATAAGGAGTAATTTATACTCCGTATTTTAAAGTTTTTAACTAGGAAGTTAGTTGAATTCATATTCGGTAAGTATTGAACTATTACGGAGTAAATAATAAGTGAGTGGTGAAATATAAAATGTTGAAATATAAAAAGTTACTCCGTATAAAAGAATACTTATGAGAATATTTTAAAAATTCAAAGAATTCTATTAAATAAATCGAAATATATCAAATAATTTGGTTAACCAAACAAGGATTCTTATAGAATATCCTTTTAAAAAATGATCACCAACTTATAAGCTAAAATGTGTCAAAGATCACGCTATATAAATATAAGGGTTATGTGCACGTTTGAAACAATTAACTGATAGTCTGTATTATTTTAGCCTTGTGTTTGATCCAACTAGTTGAAAAGATACATTTATAGACTTTTTAATAATTGTTAAATTTAAGTGACTGAAAATATCTTAAAAGTAGTAGATGATAGTTGTTTAAAAAAAAGCTAAAGACTTTTTTCATATGCTGCTCAATGTAGCATTCAAAAAAAGATCTTTTATTTTTCGAAGGCTCTTAAATTTGTTATGCCAAATATAAAATTAGAAGCTTTTAAAGACTTTGTAAAAGGTACAAAAGCTAGAAGGTAAGGAGTAATTGTATGTTTAACACAAATAGCTGAAAAATACTTTTGTGAGCTCTTTAGTATGGAGTAATTGTTAGTAATTAGTTTCTGCAAAGATCTTAAAGGAAAAAGCGCTACTTGTTTGATAGAAAACACACTATTTGATTTAGTTCTGTTTGGTATACAAGCCGTTGTGGGGAATTAATAGTAAGAGCTACAAACATTTTTTAGATGTTTGTAGTGTAACTTCTCAAAAAGATCTTTATTTAAAAAAAATTTAAAAATTGGCGTACCAAACATACAACTAGAAGTTTTAAGAGCCTTTCTGAACAATATAAAAGCTAGGATACAGGGACTTGTACCTAGAAAACATACACTTAAATTAATAATTTGACTTGTAGGATCTTCAATGTTAATTTTCAGTCGTTTATATTTAATTAAGACTAGATATTTATAAGAGTATAATAAATTTACCATTCAATTATGTATAAGATTTTTTTGAAAGTAAATTGTATATATGAAAATAAGTACTCAAAACTATTTTCATGTCATAAAGTGATACATAGGATTTTGAAACTTAACTCAAAAAAATAAAACATAAATTTAATTGTAAAACATAGGAAGTAGTGATTTGAATTAGCTAGTTCGTTGTGAGTTTAATTGGGTGTACGTGTAGGGATTACTTTTGCTACTTATAGTATATCTTTTTTTATATAAATATTAACTATAAATACACAATTTCGCATGCTTCACAAACCTATAAAGCTAATCTAGGAAGGAAATTTTAGTACAAAGTGCGTTAAAATTATAATGAATTATTACGGAACCTTATAGTTTTAGGAAAACTTACTTTCAACTGTTTCAAGCACTAGGTGAACCATTAACCACAATTGCCCATGTTGTTAGTTTCTGGTAAGGTTGAATAAGTTTTATGTTCATAAGGTTTAATTTGTCAGGCTTACTTTCATTGCCCTAAAAATTTTAGGACCTAGCTACTTTTGTATCCTAAGGGTTGCTTTACCAACGGATACTAGTATATGTACATTCATGAAAACATTATACGAAGTACATATAGTCCTTAACCTAATTTAGGTTAAGATTATTTTTCCTGTTCGGTAAGTTTACTCACTTGCGGATTTGATTTTATTGTTGGTACATATTTCCAAATAAAGGTTTTATCCACCAGAAAGTACACTTGTAAGTAGAAATTTTGACACCAATGCTCAATGTTTCGATTCTTCACGTATATTTTGTCGGAAAGTAAACTTTTCAACAGAAAATTTATTAAAGTGAATATCTAAAAGTGAATAAAGTTACCGAACTAATTAAGGACACAACCAAAGTTAGGGACTAAAATTGCAAATCTGCCTATACTTTCATGGTTAATTTGCCAATTTATGATTTCAACTTTACTAAGCATTATATATTCATATATTGCAGATCAAATTCAAATGTGTATTGTTCTTGTAATTAACTAATAAACTAAATAAGGTAATTATTATTGAAAATGCAGGAAGAAGGATGGGTGGTGTGTAGAGCATTCAAGAAAAGAATCACCGGACAACTAGCAAAGAGCAATGAAGGTTGGGAGTCCAACTATTGCCTGTTGTACGATCATGAACACAACATCATTAACAATTTCATGGGAATTGGGAACACCTCTTCTAATAATAATAACAATAGTTTTATGGCTCAAACATTATTTATGTGCAAGCAAGAACTCGATGCGGCGGCGGCCGCCGCCGCATCATCGTCAGAAACGACCGCGAATTTCACACAGCACCATTCAGAGAACAACCACCTATTCAATCAGCTCCCGCAGCTGCAAAGCCCATCCCTCCCACTCCTCAACAAATACCCCGCTGCCGCCGCCACCAGCTCATCCGCCGCAGCCGCCAGCTCATCCGCCGCCGCCTCTCCGCCGCTGCCTCTCCGAGAAAACAAGAAAGTCACGGATTGGAGGACGCTGGACAAGTTTGTAGCCTCCCAGTTGAGCCATGACGATGATAATCTGAAGGAGAAGAGCTTTACTAAAAGCTGTAGTTGTGAAGAAGACATGGATTTGTTATTGCAGAACGCCGAGAGAGAAGAGGGAGGCGCCGGTGCCGGCGCCGGGAACAAGTTGAGCGAGTACTTCTTGAGTACTTCTGGAAGCTCGTCAAATCTTCATGAAGACAATATTGGTATTTTCATATTTGACCGATAGATAAAAAATAATAATGAATTGATGAAATTAATTATTTAATCATGAGCTAGTACATACTTACGTACGTGTATATATAGTGCACGGGAAAATTAAAAAGATTGCATGAGGCTAAATTTATTTGAGCTTCATGCAGTCAGTCTAACACGTACGTACGTATGTACTGATCAGATTTTATGATGTTTACATACATTAATACATATATACATATATGGCAGGGTGTGGGTGGGTATATATATATATATATATATATATATATATATATATATATATATATATATATATATATATATATATATATATTGATGATATATATGTGAAATATATATACATGACTACATGAGAATCTCACTACTACTTGTATCATATATAGAAGTTCAATATGTATTTTTTCTTTTTAAAGAGTGCAAATTATAGCAATTGATGTAATTCATTAAGAAGCACAATTAAAAATAAAGACATGGTGTATTAGTGTATAGGAGTACAAAGGCTCCGTTTGTTTCTTGGCGATTTCACGCCAAAACGCTGCATAAAGTAGCGTTTCTCTTTAAAAAATTGACGATTTGGCCTAAGTCGCCAATATCTAAACAGGTCCAAAGAAGGGGAATGTGTTATTGATAAAGATCTCAAGAAAATTACATTTGACGGGTGATTTTAAAAATTGAATTCATATATATTAATGATTTTGAAATGAGTGAGAAATTCTAATATGACTCAAAACATGAGATGCAAAGTCAAATTTGATAGAAATAATTCATAATGATTATTATGAATTATCTATATCAAAAATTTCCCCAAAAAATTAAAATCCAATATAATTATTGAAGTTCAATGGATTGGATCACACATTCTTATTTTAAGCGATAAAATATAAGAATTGAACCAAAATAGATGCTTCAAAGTCAAATTTTCCCAATATATAACTATTCGATCAGTTTTAATAAATTGTACGTAGTACGTAGCTTCTCTAAATTAATATTTTCATCCAAACACTACTCGAGCAAACATGTATGTTTGGAATAATATTTTAACTGCTATTATATACGGAGTAATATACTTGAAATTAAAGACCATACGAAGTAGAGTCCGTCCACCGTACAACCGGCTGTACGGTGAGCACCGTACAGACGGTGTCATTTTTGTAATATAATGTGAAAATCGCGGTTTCTGCTATCTGAACATTAGTGTACTGTTAATGAGCAATAGTTCAATTTTAATGAGTATTATAAAGAGTCTAATACTGAGCATCATGTTATTACAAGAAAGCTGGTATCACAACTAAAAAAGCGGTGACATTTTCGTAATTTCAGTGAAATTCACGATTTTCGTTAGATGAGCATTAATACACTGTTAATGAGCACCAGACATATTTTACTGAGTATTAAAAGTCGAATAATGAGTATTATGATATCAACTTCATATATTGTAATTCACATTCTTTTTATTATTTTATCTTTTATAAAAACACATTATATTATATCTATAATCAACTTCTATAAACTTCAATATGCGAATTTAATGTAGTATGATACTTTTGAAATATGCATTGATATGTCATTTTAAAATGAGCATAATATCAGTATCAAATGAGCGTACGCAACTTACAAAATGTGCATAAATATGAAAATCATAGGGTTTGTTAGTTGGACGTCGGGACATTTTCATTGAGCATCAAACCTCCTATATTAAGATGAAAATAACGGTTAATGTTAAATGAGCATTATTGAATTTTTAATTAACACTAGACCTGTTCTGTTGATTACTTTTAGGGAGTATTAAATTATATCTACAATCAATCCCTATCAGTTCAATATGTGAATCTATTGTAATATGATACTTTTAAAATATGCATTGATATGTCATTTTAAAATGAGCATAACATCACTATTGATTGAGCATATGTAGCTTACAAAATAAGCATTAGTATGAAAATAATAAGCTTTGTTAGTTGAGCATCAAGACATTTTTCATTGAGCATTATTAAATCTCCTCTATTGAGTGTTAAAACGTGCAATTGAGTGCCGATTGAGCATTCCTAAATTATAAAATGAGCATTAGTAGGAAAATCATAAGTTGTTTAGTTGAGCGGGTATCAAGACATTTTCATTGAATATCAAATCTTCTTTATTGAGTACCAGATGAGCATACGCAACTTACAAAATGAAAATCGAAAAAATTCAAAAGCTCATTTGAATTCTCTAATGTGTTGAAATTCAATTGTGTATATATGCTCATTTTATTTATTCGTTATACTAATTCGAATATAACACAAACTCTTTTTCATAATACCTAAAATATTTTGTAATGCACAAATTAAAAAAATTAAGTTTGAAGGTTGATTGGAAAAACAAAAAAAACAAACTCAAACAATAAATAATATTTTATATAATACATTATTATAATAATTGAATAAAAAATAAAGTAAAAGATTGTTAAAGAAAAAATAAAGAAAAGAAAAACAACAAGTAAATTAAAGAAAAAGAAAGAAGGGAAGCAACAAGTCAAACGAAAAAACAAAAGAAAAACACTGTTAAAGAAATAAAGAAAAAGAAAGAACGAAACAACAAGTTAAAGCAATGAAAAGGGTAGAAGAAAATAAAACGACAAAAGAAAGAAAAAGAGAAAACCAACTAGCAGGACACGAGAAAGAGAATGCCGGCAGGCAGAAAGAAAACCATCGGGACAGAACCCGCCTAACTACAATTAATTACAAAAATGGTGGTTGTACCATGTTCATGGTACAGATGGCTGTACCATATAATTTACCATACGGAGTATAACTCATCACATACTTCCTCCGTTCTGAAATAATTGTCCTGGTTTGACCTTCACACAGATTAAGAAAGTGAAATTGACTTCACACTGTAGCGACATTGTTTGGCACTGTTTTGCAATGTAGCAACACTATTTGGTAATGTAGCGACACTGTTTGGCACTGTTTGACACTGTTTTGTATAGATTTGTTTACCAAATAAGGAAAGGAGACAATTATTTCGGGACGGATCGAAAAGGAAAACAGGACAATTATTTCGGGATGGAGGGAGTAATATTTAATAAGCTAAGAAACCATTTATTTTGACTCAACAATTCAAATAATCCTTCACAAATTCATAGTTATAGACTCAACTTTTGAATAGGGCATGTCTTCTAGTTTGAGTTAACAAAGTTTATGGCCTGACTCTTTCAAAAAAAAGTGTATGGCCTCAACATGAACTATAACTTCAGTGGCGTAACATAAAAGCAACATGTGCATTAATGACAATGACAATGATTTATAGGGTTGACACTTTTAATTTACGTCCATGCATCGTGATCATGTCTCAATAATTGAGGCAACACAAAAGTTCTTTCATAGTTTGTCATCGACAAATGTGCATTGTTAACTGACGAGCACTTTGTCATGGTGCGTCAAAATAATTTCTATACTAAACACTTATACGTAGTATAGCGTAGTAGAGTTCGTATTCACAGGGAAAGGAATATTTCTCTTTTTATGATACTTCGTAAATAAAAAGGGGGATTTGGATTGAGTGATTTAATTTAATTAAGAACTAAGATGAACAACCTATATGTGTTTAATTCAAAGATAAAAAGGACTTGGCATTGCTACTTTCCACTTGTTGATATATTTTAGTCGATCATTGTTATATCTATAACTTATTCCCTCTCGAATACTCAATCGGGGAGTATATCCACTTCATCGAGGGTAGTTATTAACAACGACCGTTCATTAATAACCCTTACTATTAATCAAATATAGAACAACGCCTTATACCGATTTAATAGTAGCATTTAATCTTTCTAACTCCTTGATGAAATCAATTGAGATTGATAACCTCAACACAAGCGGTTTCGGTTTAACCAACAAAATTAATCCCTCTTAAGTTTATTAACCACGACCGTGCATTAATAAACCGAAGTTACTTACTTGTGAAACCATCAACGATTAACCATCGGTTCGTTGATCGTTTCTAGTAATAATTAATATATGAAACAAAACTAGTTGATCCTTTAAGTAATGTTCAAAATATTAATATTAATATGAAATATGAGTAGGGATTAATTAATATTCAAGGAAGAATATTGTTAAAGAAGATGAATCCTACTATAATTAATATCAAGATGTTAACTAATTGTCATCTTAGCAACACTCCCCAATATTAATATAGAGGAAGAAAATATCATTCTAACTAATGTCGAGATGTTAACTAATTGTCATCTTAGCAACACTCCTCAACATCAATATAGAGATGGTATTAAGGAAAGAACTATTAATTAATATTCAAGGAAAGAAGTTAAGAAAATAACTCACAACTTTAATAATCAACAAGCTTCAAGAGCAACACCAAGAATGGAAGTTTAGCTCCTCATTTGGAGACTAAACATAGCTAGAAAAATATAAAGAAATGCTATTCTAAACTGAGCTAAAGAGTATGGAAGAAGGGATGATGAAATGTGAAGGAAAATGGGGCTATTTATAGGTGTTTTCAACACCTAATGCCGGATACCCGGCCGGGTATTTTGACATACCCGACCGGGTATTTACCAAATCAAATATTTTCCCATGTTTTTGTGTCTTCTGCACATTCTTTGGTCCGAAATCACAGAATACCCGACCGGGTATATGGAATACCCGACCGGGTATTTGCTAGTTTTGCAGCAGTTTCCTTTGTCACTTCATACCCGGCCGGGTAAAGTCCATACCCGACCGGGTTTTGCACAAAACTCAGGTTTCTTCATCCTTTTTGCTTCCAAATCTATCCTAAACTTATAGCCAAACTAACTACAACTTACAACAAACAATAAAATGCTAGAAATACGATTATAATCAAATGCAAACTAACAACTATAAACTTGCACAAAACTAGTAAATAAACATTACAAACAATAATAAAAATGTATACTTAGGCACTAACAACTAGTGCCTATCAAACACCCCCACACTTGAACTTTTACTCGTCTCGAGTAAAACAAATCATGTCCATGAAGTTTCCAAACCAACAATTGTAGCAATTACAACCATTCACAAGTGTTTTTGAAAATCAACATAAAAGAATGTTTCAATGATCAAAAGACATGAATAAAAGGTCTTCACCATCATTGGGTTTCTCTGCTTTTGCTCCTTATGTGTACCCTTAGGATCCTGCAAATACAAAAGAAATACTTTCTCTCATTCTCTCATTTTGCCTAGGTGCCCTTTTGGGTTTTCATCCCAGCT